GTCCCTGCTACCTGTGCGAGCGTGCGAAAGCTTGGATGTTGCCACGGCAGTGGTGAAGCACCCCGCCGTATTTCATCTTGAAGTTTGTTCGCGTCCCCGGGATGGTATTGTCGGACATCTCCGATCGGTTCAGCTCGCGAAGACCGCCGAGAGCTGTCTCTAGCTGGCGCTACACGCATCGCTGTGGGGCATTGCCTGCTGCTCGTTTGGCTGATGAAGCCCTCGCCTCAGTACGAAATCTCCGCGAATCAATTTCCGTGCAAACGAGAGCTCACCGGTTATTACCCCGAGCATGGCGAGCTCGGACGTGCTGTGCTCCCCCTGTCGTGTCAGGTTCGTTCTGTTGTCGAGAGCGTGTTAACAAGCTCGTGGCTGGCGACTCGAGCCCTCGCACGATTTGCGGACAATCGAGAGCGTATCGACAAGCCCCTTTTCCGGCGACTTCCTTTACACTCTCGGCGGGTCGTGGACACTTCGAATGGAGCAGGACTGGACGAAGGGTTGTTGGGCGCGGCCACAGGTCGAAACCAAACACCATCAATTTGCTGGTGCCGTCGGGAGAGTCACTCTTCCTCGAAAAATCGATCTCTTTGATGGCAGCAATCACGGCACGGTGCGAGGTTGCAGCGGTACGTAGAACGCTCGGTTGGAAGATGGGCTCGTTTCGGCTGGGCGAAACCGAAGCATTCGACTTCGGTGCAATCGAGACTACCGCCAACAGGCGTCAAGGTTGAGGCTCCATCAGGGCCCTCAATCAACAATGCCTGCGTACCACGCGAAGATGATCGCTGCTCCCACTTCTTTAATGGAATGGAGCAGTCGGGTGCACCATTCCTATCATCCGACCCCTCGTGCGTTGGTCCGTAGCGAGTGTGTCGCACAAGGTTCATGTTGCCGGCATGAGGTCTTGGGACGCTTGGCGACTGGAATGTTGTGTTGGTACCGAGCGAAGCCAGTGCAAGGCGTGGTTCCTGTAGGCGTTCCACTTCGCCAAGGCACTCAGTCACCTGAGAGCAGTCTAGCAGCTCGCACATGTGTACGCATTGCCTGCATGTCTGTTGGAGGTCAAGTTACAGGAGCTTCTGTGATCGCCAAGTTTGTGCGCGTTCTCTCTACCTCGCAAGCGCCCGGGCGCATGGGGACTTGACAGGAAACGATCGCCGCTTGTGAACTCTCCAAATCATGGCGAGGCCGGGGCCACCTTTCGTTTCCCCCCTGGAGCTCCCGGGGCCATTCGTCGTCGCGAATCTGTTGACAAGTATCCGTTCTACGCGGGTCGAGGCAAGACCGAGGCCTTCCTCGTCTAGCCTTCGCGAGGACATTAAGCTTTTGGTTTTGTAGGGGTTGAGGGTTAGGGTTAGGGTTGGTTTGTCGAACGCCCCCTCTCTATTTTACATAAACGCCGAGTATCCTCACCAAGGCGGTCCCGCCTCATCTGGGTGTCTTCTCAATCCCTCCCAGGCCCCATGGCGACTGCGCTGGGTCGAGCGACCGGCGTCGTCTTTCGCTTGATGGTGGTGGATGCCGAAAATGCCTTTGCTGAGTGTGCTTGTCGACTTCCACAGCAGTGCGACCGGGGTACTCAGTGTATATATTGATGAAAGCGGGGCACAGTAGCGGTGACTTGGGCATGGAGAGGTGGGAAAATAGAGTATTTGGATTACCCACCGGGTATTGATTTCCTCGACGACCGGGGTTTAAGGATACCCGGAACCGTCGTTCTATACCTGGAGGAGTGAAAACAGAGACCCTGGTTATTAACTCCCGTAACCCAATCTATCGCACATCCAGACAGAGACATTGGGTGAGCTTGAGCATACGGTTACCTCTCCTTTGTCTCCTCCCAGAAGGGGATGATAGCCTCTTTCTAGACTAGGCATTGATTGCTGTCCACAGCAGCAGTGGGAGACTACGCTTTCGCTCTCTCCATCCACCCGCCAGGGCCGAAACAATAGCCCCCTGATATGAGGTCGGGCTTCCTTGTCTTCGCGAGTATATCGACACCGTCTCGCACTCGCATCAGTGGTCTCCGCGTCAGGCTCCCATTTTCAATTGCCAAAGATTGGAATGATCTCATGAAGGTGTTCTGTATTCACGGGGAACAGTGAATCTGTTGCCCTCTGGTGTACTTGAAGAAGCGCGGCACAATCTATGCACTCGTCGTTTATACATGCATTCCTTCGGGCCTTGGGATCGCAAGCACGCTGACCGAGGGAGGAAAGGAGATTAACTTCATCCCTTTCCCCCCCCATTCTACACGGGCCAACAGCGCAAGAACTGTCGGGCCAAGGGGCGATAGAGTGTCTGTTTTCCTCATCTCGCCGACCGTACTATGCTATTTTGCGGACTGTGACCTCCTTATCTTACGCTGCTTTTTCTTGTCCCACGTCATGCTCATCGCCTTACAACGCTTTCAAGCACGCACCGTCTCACGACCCTCAGCGTAACTACCACCACATGAAATGAATAGTGAACCTCCCTCATTGCGATTGTCTTCCTTCCCTCACCATACACACAATCTTATTTCATGACCCCCCCCCCCACGCTTATTCATCTGTCCGCTCTATCAGGATAAAAGAACGGGCACTCGCCGCGTCGTTGCTTCGGGCAGAGATTGAGCACTCGAGGGAGAAGGCCAAGGCCAAAGAAGTAGAGGTGCGCCAGGTGTTTTGATTTGATGCGGAAGCACAGTGTATGGATTATGTACGAAACCAAGTGTCCATTTCCTGCCGCAAATGGATAGCGCTCTTCTTATCTAGTCTCGTGGTGGAACATCATGGCACATGGCTTCAAGGGGTGCCACGGGTATGAGTTGCCCAGTTGGTCAGGACAGCCCGGAATGGAAGTGTCACGGCTTAGGCCACGTCAGGTTAGGCCAGGAAGGCTGTGCACGCCACTGATGACGCCAAGGCCACGTCGGCGTGATTCACACGTCAGGTCTGATCATGACCTGCGCTAGACGAAACAGACCCGATGACTCATTCTTCTGCTTTTCATCGAGCTAGCCGAATGGACCACTATCGATTCTTCTCCCGAACCTTGTTAGAAAACGTGCTCAATGTGCGAGAAGTCGCCGAAAGCTTCTTTTACTCCCACCGCGTCGTCTCGCAATTTACTTTTGCTTTGCTCTCGTAGGCGTGTCTACTAGGGCCATGATGACTCGATGCAATGGCCTGTACCTTGTGGTGCCTTTCGTTTTCAAGGGCTGGTGATGCACGCATGTGCCCTTTGTCTAGAGAACGTCCTGTCCAGATACGTAGCCAGCGACATCAAGTTGAAATGCATGAGTTTGCATTGTCCAATTCGCCGAATTCTTGTCGTTTTTTGTGTTTTGTTGCGTTGCTTCCGGCTTGGTTACTTTGTGTTCAGGAGAAAAAAGCTGCTGATGACCACCGCCAGGCACTGAGGGCTCGCGCGGGCCAGTACCGCCAGGATAAGGAGTTGGCCAAGACGTCGGCGTTCGCCCGCTAGAGGGACCTGCTATGGTTGAGGTCGAGGGCGGAGGAAGGGGTTGCTATCACACGTTTCCCCTTTCCCGCAGTCGTGGACGAGGTGTTGGGCAAGGGACCCACTCGCCGTACGTCACCCCGTCGCACAGCCAAAACGCTCAGGTAGCCGAGAGAGGCACAGTGTGACCGCATACGTTTAGTTCGCGGGATCCGTACGAGGGCTTGAAGTGGGTGAAGATCGGGGGCAGGAACACCCCACAAGGGGTTGACAGAACAAAGAACCCACGCAATCTGCTGGAGTTGCCGGTGTGTAGTGTTGTCGTCCCATCCATTCTGGCGCCAGTCTCGCCTTTTGTTTAGTATCTGAAGTATCAACCGGGGTCACCCAAGAGAAGGTAACATGGGGACATTTTTTTTTTTTTTCCACCTTCCCCCTAAGTTGCCTGTCGATTTTTTTGAAAACGACAAGGGTTCAGCAGTTCCTTCCCTCTTGTTGTGTACACTCACGAAGATGTCGCTTTCCACCGCAGAATTGCAGGTCGTTCAATCCCGAGAGAGATTCGAGCAACCAACCTGCTGCTACTAGGTGTACGAGGGTACGAACTAGACCACTGGGGCGACAGGTTCGGTGTGCCTGCGTTTGATGTTCGTTCCAGTATGTAAAGTAATCGTGACAACGAGGTTTCACACAATCTGCCCTCTTCAAGCAGCGAGGTTGTGTTAGGCGGCAAGCCAGCCATTTTTTGGGCACAGCAGGGTACATGCATGCGTGCATTCAAACGTGCACGACAATCCCACGGAGTAGATCGGGATTCGATGTAAGCCGTCGGGTAGCCTCAAGTTGAATGGACGAACCACCGCTGTTGGTGCCGGGGTTTGCTGGCCGAGACGCCAGTATATCTGACCGGTTCATGTCCGGAAGAGACTGAACCTCTGCGCTAGCTTGTTTCAAACATCGCACCAGTAGTAGCTCGTTTTTTTCTTGTTTTGGTGTGTTTGTGGGGCGTGCTTGCGCAAGGACGGGCTGTAGGATAGTCGAACTTGATCGGGAACACCTCCCGCGGTTGTCGCTCGTACGGGTACGATATGATTCCGGACTTAATAGTAGATGGCGATGCATTTGTGTGCGATGATGAGAACCGTTTTGTACCGACGGGTTTTCCCTGTGTTCAAGCCCCTTTGCGGGGGCGGGTCTTCCGAGCAGTAGACTTCGCGATGATGTTTCACTAGGGCGTACGGGGTGGGATAAGGTAAGGGATAGGTAAGAGAAGCCCTCCTCTCTCTCAACTTCCAAGTAGATCAGTACAAACAACCGCGAAGTCGGTCCCTTTCGAGGCAGGCATGCGTGGCATACAGTAGAGGTCCCTATTTAGTGCCGGTATGTGCAGAGAAATTTCACCGGCACTAAACCGGACACCGGCACTATTCGAAGTCCAGAACGACTTGGTATTACAGTGTGTGCGAGCCGAAAACACCGGCACTATAACGGCAACCGGCACTAAACAGGGACTTCTACTGTATTTCAATGATAAAACAATGGCGCCTGGGGCGGGGGAGCGGGGTGGGGGGGGGCGAGACAATGAGTTATGTTTGTGACAGATTGCCAATCAGAGGGAGTGGCTTCGAGCGAGGTTGTATGCGTCGAGGTCGGTCGCGTGCTTCTTCATGGCTTCTTTTTGCTCGCAGGTCGCTTAGTGTTCGAATTTTTGGGTGGGCTTTAATTTTCGTGTAGATTCGCTCGTTTTTGTCACCAGCCCTCTCCTCCTCCGGTCCGGGGTGTGTGAATAGTGAATAGGTTTGGTTTCGTGTAGCACATGATGGCGCACGTTCGACGGGCGGATACGCGTGCTACTGGTTGGTGCTGTCATGCTGTTTGTGATTCTGGTGAAGTAGTAGATTCTACTGGTGTAGCGCCAAGTCACCAACAGCAAGTTTACGCGCAAGTGTGGTGTTCTGTTGGTTGTATCAACGAGTGTACTGTGCGATAGGGTGCGTTGTGGGTAATCGTGATGATAGGGAAACAAGTAGCAATATTTTCCAGGGGTGTCATCTCTCCCAGTAAACTCTTAAAACAAGCAGCACATAGCGTGCGTGAGCACAAAGTGCCTTCATTTGGTGGCACGATCGATGCTGTTTCTTGTTATCACTCAGTTTCACTTTTGTGCTGCCGCGGCCGAAGCTGTACGTATGCATGTGGCATCTGGCAGTGCATGCACTCCGGGTACGTGCACGGCTACGCGATCCTTGGCAGCGAGAATTATAGTTCAAGTGTACCAACCTTTGGCCTCCATCCGAGAAGACGGTTGTTCATTCTACCCATCGTTGGAGCGAAGCACGACCCGCTACGGAACAGGCGTACGTGCGGTAGAGGCCATCGACAGCCAGCCCGGCGCATCTCGCATTCCGAACTGTCTACACAGTGATGTCATCCCTACTTTTCCCTGAACTGCATGCATTCATTCGCCCAATATTTGCGTGTGCTGTAGTAGGCCATCATTGGTAAACACTCGACCTATGTACATCCACATCAAAGCTCGGTCTTGGACGTGCTTCATGCAATCCCTGTTTGGCCCGTCGATCATGTTTGCTACGACCGATATTTGTACCTGTTTGTCCTGCTGTTGTTGCTTCCGCTGTATTTCCTATTTCCAACGTGTGCGTTGACAAAAAGCTACTCAGGGTTGCGACAGAAACAAGGAGCCAGCCATCATTATATTATTGTAGTTCAACATGCTTACGAAGTCGAGGAACGGGGGGGAGTAGTGATGGCGGAACGCTAAGCAGGCGTTCTTCGCATTCCGGGAATCGGGGATGCATAAAAGTTATCACACAACAGCCATGACACTACCTAGACTATTCCTTCTCAGTCCGATCACCAGCGGGATGTCCTGCTCCACATTTGCAGAGGGCGTCATGACATCATCAACAAAAACGCATCGAACTGAAGCTCACCAAAAGTAAGCCGATAAAAGCTGATCAGTCCAGGCGACACTTGTTACTGGTATCGAATAACAGCAGAGCAGCAGAGTTGGCTATTGTAAGGACGTTTAATGTACTGCTGTAGTCTGGGTTCCCCTATCAAACGTTGTTGGACGTGTTGTGCCCTCAACCCTTTTTTCTGCAGTCGGACACATCCGTCTCTCTCGTCTGCGTCGATGTCTAACCGAAGAAGGGAAAGCTCGCTCGTGAAAACTGAAAATTACTAGAGAATCATTGCTGATACGCCCCTCGTGCATGCCAACAACTGCCGGTGATGGAAGCAGATGATCGATCTTATAAGATGAAGACTGGGTGTTAGACTTCGCTAGTAGACGTGACGCACTGCAGCTAGCTGCTGGTGTCCACCCAGGCTCCACTTTGCTACGAACGAGGTCGCCCTCTCCTTGTCCTCACCCCCTTCCCTTTCTGTTCAGAATGCACCACGGTGTGCGGCAGGCAACAACAACTTCCAGAAGAAGACAGGAAGGGATGTCGAGCGTATTGCGTTGTTTTTTAGCCTAGGCCGGAAGCGCTTGCTTGCACGCAGGTCGAGCAAGGGAAAATGAAGGACGAAAGTCGTGCGGTTGAAATCCTTTTGACACGAATCCCGTCGATTTTGCAACAACATGGCATACTCACTGGTATTCATGAGGGTCGTCTTGCTACCCATATAATGATTACCTACGCGTGCTTCGCAGGGGTCTGCAACCAACGAGGCGTCAAACACCGGGTCATCAAGTCATGTTTGCATGTTTGAACCTGTTTCACCTCAATCAACAACAAACAGCGCTTTTTGCACCACAGCGATGCGACGGCTTCCCGTAAAGTTGCACCCAAAGCCAATGGTATTGGCGCAAAGGTGTGATGAAATCATGCCTATCCCATCTTGGCTACTTTCCCTATCCTGCCGCACGCTTCTACTGCATGGCACGGCGGAGATGACAACAGCAGTTACACATGCTCGTCAGATAAATCTTGCCGAAACGCCGGCGTGATGACTACTGAGCACATGGATGCGCGAAAGCAAAACAGGCCATGGGTGACCCCGATGTCAACTCTCCTGGTCATCGAATCAAACATGTTACAATGGCTATGGATTGACGATCGAGAAAGAGGCGGGGAGAACGAGAGAGCTCTTACATCGTCACATGTTACCGACCACACGGATCCTGCTAGACACTCTGGACACACATGTTTTATTTTTTTTGTTGACACTTGCATATCTACCCTGCGGCGGCCTTGCCTCTCTAACTGAAGAACTCCGACCTTGGACTGACGAGCTCCTGTACGGTGCATGCCTCATGGCAAGAGCTCGAGAGGGGTTCAGCCGCCCCGCCTGCCGAAGTTTTTCGCGGGTTGGTGATGCGTGCATGGCGCGCAGATCTCCTCTGGCAACCCCTATCCCCGGGCTTTTTTTTCTCAATTTTTTCAAAACGCGCGAAAGAAAACAGAAAACGATGCCTCTGCTTGGTTGTTGAGCGGCCTGCTGCCCAAGAGAGAAGAGCTCAAACCGGCGAGGGAAGAAAACCTGAAGTTGGCAACGGTGACGCTGAGACCGTGCCTCAGAACGCGGCCGCTCCTCCGACGCTCGTGGTGTTGGGGAGCGCGGCTCCGATCCTCCCCTGCTGTGTCCGATCCGAAAGGGGATCGTGTCTGCCATGACACCTCAAGACCCACGCTTCTCCGAGTCTCCTCTCGGCGAAGAGGATACCAGAGGGGGGCAGCAGCATCACGAGGCGAGCAGTCACAACAACGACGATAGGGAGAACAACAACAACAACAACTATCCCCCTCCTCATCCTCCTCCTACCTATCCCCACGACCTTGGCGCTGAGACGCAGGAGGAGCCCGAGCAGCAGGCAGGCGCAGGGGCATCATCATCATCGCGCAATCGTGGGGGCTCCACGGTTTCTCAAGAGTCAACCCTGGAGAGCAGCACCCCCGCTGGTGCTGTTCCCCAGCAGGCGGGCGCTGCTGCCGCTGCTGCTATGGTGCCGAGCAAGCCCGTGCTGCGGTGCCAACGGAAGGGGAAGGGGAAGGGGAAGGCGAGCGAGGGCGGGGCTGGTGCTGGTGCTGGCGCCGTGGCGAAGAGATCGGGCGGTGCTGGCGGCGAGGGGACGGAATTGGTCGGAAAAAAGGGCGACGGAAAACGACAGCGCGCGGGACAGAGCCATAAGCGGGGCAGGCAAGAGCAAGAGGATGAGGTGAGCCACAAAAAAGAAAAGACAAGGATAAAGGGGGGTGAGTTGTTTTATGTCGCGGTTACGATGGTGCTCTTTTTAATTCGTGAGGCGTCCTGAGGTGTGTTGAACGTCCGTCACACACGCGGAAGGATAGTTCATCAGGGGCCTTTTGTGTTTCATGTCTCTTTTGGATCGATCCTCGCACCCCCGCTCCTGGTGGGAAGTAGCTGACTTCCCTTCGACTGCTGTTTTTTTTTTAAATGGTTGTTCCTGATCTTCTCCCACACTCACCCACAGCAGGTCTAGGTAACCCGTGTGTTGTGTCGTAGACTGCCGTGGATATGCGTTCAACCCCCGCTAGATTCAGTAGGTTGATAAGAGCAAAGCAGCAGGAAATGCTGGCGCGTCGTGTCTGCCGCTCTCGCTCTCTCTGTTCAAATCTTACTAAATAGTACTGCTGTACACTGGCTGGCGTCCGCGACGATGCACCTTTGCACACACAGCGGTTATGCATTCAAAGCTGCACCTGATTGCCCGCTTTTCTTTTCACCTCTCACTCTTGTACATGTATTTTCTCTCTGCTGGCCTACTTTCACACAACTTCCCCAAGCGTTTAGTTTGCTCACTCTGCTCTGTCATCTTCCCATTGGGCGAGCAAACTTCAATCGACATATGCATGCAAGTAGGTACGTGTATGCGTAGGATCTTTGGTGCATTCAGCGGAATTATGTGGTACATATGCATACATATTTTGTAGATTGTGTGCTACTCTAAGCTGTGTGCTGGAGCGTCAACAATCTCAACATCAACGAAGCACATGTAAGCGTCTACTACTGCTGTACCTCGATCGTCCAATGCCATTCGGGCCTTGATATCTTTACGTGAGTGGGAGCGTGCTCTCTACCCGGGTCCCTTGGTTTCCTCTCTCCTGGCCACATGGTGCTGTAGGGCGCGTATGCATGGTTGTACTGGTATGCGTGTATGCATTCGCAGCACAAACTATGCTCTATGCAACAAACATGGTTCGATGTCGAGTACAGCAATACTGTTCGTTGAATTGAATCAGGAGATCTACAGCAGTATACAATGCGCTTCCCTCCGCCACTCATAGATTGGAATCTAGCCAACGCGAAGAAGGTTCTTTCGAACAGGTCCCACATGTGACGTTTGGCGAACCCCTCCCGTAGTTCCGATGGACGTTTTCTGCGTGTGAACCACAACAGCGGCAGCAAGCGGAGAAGCACCATAGCAATGGGTTTGCCCGCAAGAGGACGGGCCCAAGCAACATAGACTAGTCGAATAATACATTTTCTGAATTACGCCGCCGTTTTCGGCGCCGATGCTTGTTTTGCTGCAGATATATCGGGCTTTCCAATTGGATTCGGGTTGTGGTATCTTACGCAGCCTACGGTAGATGCACCCATGCATAGTACCGAGTGGTGTAGATCGATGTGTTTGCGTCATTTTGGGGAAGTATCAATTCAGCGGTGGGGGTCCCGGCCTAGCGGGTTGGTGGTTAGCGGCGTGCCCCGTATAGCGGTGACGAAGTCGCGTGACGCCACTCACCGTTGCCCACCGGTTCAGCTTGTCTCATCTACGATGTTACTCCGGACATGCCCACCATTGCGGTTGCTTGAGCTGTTTTTGTTAGTGAAAAACAGCGGTTGTCGACTCCAAAATTTGGGGAAAATCCCGCGCGCACAACTGTCTCTCTCCTCGCTATCGTCCAGCCCGTCATTTTGGACGGCACCTCTCTTGCCTGTGGTCAATCCCCATCTCGCCCACCCCCGCCCCCCCCCCCGGGGCTGCCTCTGCTGCTCTATTTGCACGCCGCCCTGTCTCCGGCCTCTCGCGCGACCGGACCAAATCAACATGAAACAAAAAAAAAAATACAATCGCGAATAAAACACAAAAGGTCAAGCCGGTAGTCGTTCCGCCAGCGTTGGACAAGCTGTGGTCGGTCACGTGCGCGGCCCACTTTTGCCCCATCAAGAAGAGCGACGAGGATTTTCTCAGGGACAAGCAGCTGGAGATCCTGGCGAACTTCGGAGTTGCTCCCGGCACCATGCGGAAGAGGGCGGTGAGATGTTCATGCAGCAGTACAGTCGTCTGGTTCTCGCAGCGAGAAATTTCCTGGAATTTTCTAGCATACGGTACCTCCCTCCTCTTCCCTTCCCTCCGCACCCCCCCCCCTCTCTCTGCAGCTGCTAAACGTGCTGTCCTCGAAGGATCAGGCGAAGTTTTTTTCCCCCTCAACCAATGTGCCACATTAGTGCAGGAGGTGCTTCTGCGTTAAGGGAGGAATGACGGTGTATGTACTATTATAATAGTAGACTAGGAAGTATACCGTTGCGGAACGGGGTGCGCAGTCAAATGAGACTTACGCCCCCCCCCCGCCCTTTTTCCCTCTCCCCTGATCCGATTGGTTCCGTACCTCTACTGCTGCAGGAGGAGTTCGAAGGCACTTTTTTGCACCCCACCATGGGCCCGGAGGATATCGGAAGAGGTGGGTGATCTGCTGTTTGTTGGGCTATCTTCGCGCAGGAACGGCTTTTTGGTTTTGATTTTTTTTCGGTAAGTTCAAGAACTCCCTGCTACGCTGTTCCTGGCTATATCTCGATTAGTCCGTAGGCGTGCAGATCTTAAGTCAATAAGCAATATCCGACTTGGGGAAGGACATACATGTCGTCGTCAAACGCCGTTTCAGGCGAGGGAAGGGGGGGGGGGGGGGGNGGGGGGGGGGGGGGGGGGGGGGGGGGGGGGGGGGGGGGGGGGTACGGGTACCTAGAGGAAGGGGCAGGCGTGCCAATCGTTTGGTCTAGGCACGAACGGAACAGCTCTCAAGAATATTACGTCTACTACTTCGGGAAGTATCGCTATTGGTGTGCGGTAGTTCGCCCTACGGACACGGAAGGCATCCGTCCGCGTCAGTTGCACGGGAATGTCGGAAGGTAGGTTCTGAGCGGAATCGAAACGACGGTCTTTAATGTCAAGACACAAGCCATCGCGACCCTCTGAAGCTCCTCCTCTGTCGCGGCACGAACAGTTCTCGACGAGGAGAAGAGCGAGGAGCTAAAGCTGGGCCTGGTGCCAGCGCTCGGGCGGCCCTACGAGGACCTGTGGGCGGAGGAGAGCTACGTGGAGTCGCTGGCGAGCCGGTCGTGGTCGTCCCTGGGCAGGGACTCGTCGCAGCACGTGGGTCGCTTGTACTCTTTGTCCAGTGCTGGTGTCAATAGGCCGTGCCGCCAGGGGGGAGCTAGTCTGTAGCTCTCGTTGCGGTTGCTTTTGGTGCTGTTATCGATCGACTGCGCCGCCAGGGTGAGCGCCAGTCTTGTGGGTGCGTGAGGGCTAGCTTTCGTGGTTGGTATGCAGAAGTGTTTTTTTTTTTTCTTGTGTTTTTTTTTTTCTTTTCTGGTCTTTCAGTTGTTGTCTTCATTTTGGTTGGCCGGTTTCGTCTTGTTCCCCCGGTGGCGGCGTGTTTCGCGCCTGCCTGATGTGTCCCCCAACACAATTTTTTTTTTTTGTATATTGAGTTGAGAATCACCTTCCGTTTGCAATTAAGTTGTTTCCACGCGGATACATTTAGACAGGTCTGACCAAACATCCCTACAGCAGTACATGGTAGAACACCTTTTTGCTCGTGAGTAACATCCCGTTGTTGAACCGTGCCCGTCCAAAATCGTGGTGCAGGCGGATGCCTCGACATCAGCAGCAGCGACGGCGGCGGGAGCGGGAACAAACGCGGGAGCAGACGCGGGTGCGGCGAAGGCAGGGGGAGGGGGAGGCTCCTCGGAGGGAGAAAGGCGCAGCCTCCGGGCGGGCGGGCGAAGAAGCAGCGGCGGCGGCTTCGGCTCCTTCAGCGGAGCGGCGGCGCTGCTTCTTCACGGATCGTCGTCATTGGCAGGTGGCGATGGAGGGGCGGACGGGGCGGACGCCGTTGTGGGCCCCTGTTTGCCGATGTCGAGGGACTGGACGGAGGTGGTACCGTCGCACGACGAGGCCAGCTTCCGGCGGTGCCTGGCGGAGAGCAGGTCGAGGGGGGGCATTGTCGCGGGGAGGAAGGGTTTTTACTTGCAGAGGGGCGGCGATATCGACTGGGAGGCGGAGGAGTTGGAGAGGGAGAAAGAGAGGAGGAGGGCCGCGGCAGGCTTGGAGGTGAGCGAGTGCCGTGTAATGATTGGTTGGGGGCGGTGCTGTGCGTACAGTCTCTTTGCGACTACTGGGCGCTCAACTTATGATTCAGTTTTGCGTGTGGGTGAAAAACGTTGTGTGCTGCATTTTGGTTTAGCTGGTGTTTGTGCGTGTGCAGCAGTCTCTCTCGCCTGCCGGGCGCTCAACAGCAGTTCAGTTTGCGTGTGGGTGGAAGACGTTATTTGTTCTATATTTTTTTTATCGGGCGTTGTAAGCGTATACACTCCCTCGCCTGCTTGGCGCTCAACAGTTTCTCCTGTGGGTGAAATACTGTTATTTATTTATTTTTTGCTGTCGGTGGGCATCTCGAGAGACTTGGCTCCGCTGCGTCCGGTTCTAACTGAGACGGGGCCTCGGAAAATATTAGTTCGGTGCCGCGTGTGTAATGTGCAAGTGTATACAGTGTAGG